CTGCTGACTGAGTTGCATGGCTTGTGCAGGGTTGTGCCCCCTTCTCATTTGATTTGGGGAGGGTGTAGCTCTTACGTCTTCAGATCGCGGAGTTCCTGGATTACTCATAATGGCAGGCGAATTCACTCGACTGCGATCCTTTGGGGTTGATATGCTGTCTTCCATCATGTTAAACTATAAGAATAACAAACAAAAAATGTTTCAATAATTTATTGATATTTACCGGTATGTATACAGATCAGATATAGCACATTTACTATCTACATATAAATGTGGACTGATATATCAGATATCTTATGTCAAAGTTAACAAAACTTTAAAAGATTAACAAGAATTTCTTCTATCAGACAGTTTCTAGAAGTAATATCAAATGAGAATTTATTTTTATAATCTGTAATATATATTAGGTAATGAATAATTATGAATATGTTCTTAATCTTAGGGTCTAGATTTATGTTCTCCTTGATTGCCAAGAAGTGGGGGAAATCATATAGGAAAATTGATCTAATACATGTAATCCTTTTCGTTCTATATGCCTGGTTTTTGATAAAATGATTCTATCTTTTATGCAACAGTAGAGGAGAAAGTGTTTGGCTGGACCAGGGAATCAAACCGCACCCTGCATCACTAGTCAGCTGCTCTGGCAACTGAGCTACCTAGGCCAATATCCATGGCCCAAACCATACATTACACTCTCTTTAAATTGTCTTCACCCTCAAAGACACAACCTAAGTTCTTTTAAGCCATTGGTAGGACTTTCCCTGGCAAGGCCAGGGGGTGGTCAGCGACACCAAATCTGTAACAGGAAAGTTGTAAATGACACCTCAACCAGGAATCAAATACGGGATCCCTGCATCACTACTCTGAGGTGCTCTATCGACTAAGTAATAAATTACCAAGAATGATATGAACAACCAAAACCATTACATTTGTTACAGATTTGGTGCCATACGTTAACCACCCCTGGACTTGCTGGTGTAAGTCCTGCCAGGTACTAATAAGAACTTGGGTTTGTGTCTTCGAGGCTGAAGACAATTAGGAACTAATGTAATGGTTTGGGCTGTGAATATCAATCTGAGTAGCTCAGTCGGTAGAGCTTCAGACTAGTGATGCAAGGGAATTGGGTTCAATCCTGGTCCAGCCATACATTTTCTCCCTTTTCTGTTACATTTATAGCGAGCGCAGCGAGCGTCGCGAAGCGAGCTCAATAGACTAACGTGTAAGAACAGAGGAAATTCGGATTGAAATCTGTACATACGTCAGCCAAATTTCTCTGTGCAACATTCCCAGAATTCCTGCACTACCCAATGTCCTTTGCGCGAATATTGCCGAATAAATAAATTAATAATAACGTAAAGCATATATCAGACTTTCAGTTTGTAGAAATCTTTCAAAGAAACAAGAAATAACTCTGCAATGTTTTTTGACAAAAATTGCACTAGTTTTATAGTTTCAAACAGACGCTCGGCTGTCTCCGTAAGCTCCGACAAGCTTTGTGACGTCGTATGACGTCACAGCTAGTCGAGAAGTCTCGTGCGGCTTGACGTTTGAAGTGGCTAATCTCAAGTGTTTTTGATGGTACAACTGCGCTCGCCCCAACGGTCACACCGTAAAACATATTATTAATATTAATAGTCCACTGTACAAATATGAGTAGTCATTTACTTACAAAATTTTCCCTTTTCTTGTCAAAAAAAGATCATGTAAATAACAATAAATAAGAAAAGTTTTATCAAGCTATTCTGAATAGCTTGACAAAGCTATAGTATATAGTTCATGGATGGCAAATCAAGACAAAAGATTGCACTGCACTAGTCAAATATATATGGTAAGATATAATACACTTATACCGACCCGATTTACCAAAGAATTATCCTCAGATTAGAGATAACTTCAGCATACTTCTATTGCACAATAAACGTGATTAAAATATAATGCTGATGTCAATTAGATGCCAGATTAAATAACCTACCACTTCAACCACCAGCCAGCTTTGTTGTTTGGCAAGTCTATTACCCGGACAGGGAATATAAAATCCACTTTTGATATCTTTCTTTTCCCTAAATGTATTATCAAAATATAAATCTATAATCATTCATATATTAATATAGGTATATGTAATTATTCATTTATTTTGTTGGCATATCATATTATTTTTAAATTAATTTATTTTTACTAATTTTTATATCAGGTCCATATATGTTCCATGTATGTAGATGAGTATGAAGCACAACTTTCAGAAAAAGATAAATATAGCATACATTAGAAAATTCTTATTTTGCCAAATGTAATATCATAAGGTCAAAAATCAAGTAAGCTACAAGATGTTAATATAAAAAAAAATAAATTAAAAAAAATACCTTAGCAAGCAATTAGCCTCATCTTTTCAAGAAATTTCTTAGCAAAACGAAAAATGCTTACAATTTATTTTGATATATTTTGAACTTAAAAAAAACATTTAAATTATTTTTCTTTAAATTTTACGTAAATTCGTCTTTTTATCTAAATTCCCTCCTTTTTAAATGAATAATGTTATTCCTTCGCTCCATCTAAAAAAAATCTGAAAAAGTGTCAGTACACAACAAAGATGGCGACTGATCGTCGAAGTGGAGGAATTGAACGTGTTCTGTCGAAGTGTCAATCTTGTGTGGAAGCTGGAAACTACTATGAAGCACATCAGATGTACAGAACATTGTATTTCAGGCATGTTTATTTAATTTTCGATGTTTAATCTCGAAAGGATTTTTCAAAAGTGATGATTTCTTGGCAATTCATTGTGAAACAGCTTTCTCAGAAATCATAGTCCTGTAACATAATCTCTCGAAGGATCAATCGAAAGTTGATTTTTGCAAAGAATTTTAAATTTGAAGTTTTAACAAAGATAAAAATAGAAAATTATTTATTAAATCAGGAGTTCATTTTTATTTCAACTCTGTAAGTGTAACAATCTTGCCAAATGACAATGAGCATCTCTAATCAGTTCCTTCCTCAGTACAATGTATTGATACCATAAATAGTTGTGATCAGACTCAATACTTGCTTTCATAATTAAGTAAACTATCTAACAATGGAGATTTAAAAAATATAGTTGTAAGGACCAGATGGATTTTAGAAAATTTATCAAATCACTTTGTAGCTGCAGAAATGTAGCTCTCTGCTTGAGAAAATTCAGACAGATAAAGCAGAGAGCTATGAATCTATGCATTGTAAAAACTTTCGATTCACGCCGCCAGTTTTTGTCACTCACCCATATGGAAGGTTACGGGCATGATAATACACTTTTTTAGCTCACCTGAGCCGAAGGCTCAAGTGAGCTTTTCTGATCAAAATTTGTCAGTCAACTGTCGTTGTTGTTGTTGTCGTAAACTTTTCACATTTTCATCTTCTTCTCAAGATCCGCTGGGCCAATTTTAACCAAACTTGCCACAAAGTATTGTTGGGTGAAGGGGATTCAAGTTTGTACAAATGAAGGGCCAAGCCCTTTTCCATGGGGAGATAATGATGAATTAATGAAAAATTAATGGCATCTTTTAAAAATCTTCCACTCCAGAACCATTGGGCCAAGAAAGATGGAACTCATATGTAGTTTAGATTCAAGTTTGTTCAAATCATGACCCCCAGGGGTAGGGCAGGGCCACAATGGCTGATCAAAGTTTTACATAGGAATATATAGGAAAAAATCTTTAAAAATCTTTTTCTCCAAAACCATTAGGCCAGTATAGATGAAACTAATGTGGAAGCATCCTCAGGTAGTGTAGATTCAAGTTTGTTCAAATCATGACATCCAGGAGTAGGGCGGAGCCACAATAGCCGATTAAAATTTTACATAGGAATACGTAGGAAAAATCATTTTAAAATCATCTTCTCAAGATCAGCAAAGCTATGATTGGTGATATTAATATGGAAAGTTTATAACATCCTGTGGCCATAATGGGCAACCAAATCTTTACATAGAAATATATAGGAAAAATCTTTGAAACTCTTCTTCTCAAGTATGACAAAATTATACATGTACGTTTTGTTGATATAGTGACATTTTCAAGTAAAAAAAAATTCAAATCCCTTCTACCCCAACAAGTAAAATTTTCAATACTGAGCTGATTTGTGTTTTTTAACTAGCCCATGTGCTCAGGTGAGTGGTGTGGCCCATGGGCCTCTTGTTTTACAATGTGACTTTCCAGGCAAACACAGAGTCACACAGCTCAACTTTTAACCAACTCTTAACTTCAGACTGCAAGAGACTGTCAGACACAGTCTAGACTGTGACTTAACATGATGTCATAAGAAAACATTTTTATTCCTGTAAAAAAATTCTATTTATCCCTATCAATAAAGAAATTAATAAATTAAAATAATTATGTTGCACCCAATGATCCAAAATCACTAGAGCTGCAATGAACGTTAAAGAATGATACAACTTAACTATAGACTCATTCAATATGTCATTAGACCTATTTAAGATACAACTTATTAACAAGTTACAGAGTCTTTCATGCCATAAGAACTGAAGATACCAATTGCCAAAGAACTATTTAACAATTTTTTGAACTTGTATAATTTTTTTTTTTTTTTTGGCTTAAATCATAATTTGTCAATATGAAGCTTATGTGACTTTTTAACTTTACATTTTGAATTGTCACATACGTAAACTTTCATACCTACCGTATGTTTTATTTGGCATTTGTTATTTTAGATATAAAGGACAAAAAAAGTACAAAGAAGCTTCAAGCCTACTATATCACGGGGCTTTAACACTGATGAAACATGACCAGGTATATTTATTTTTCCTAATTTTAATACATCAGGCTTTTTATATTGGGAATATATATATTTTTAAAAAATTTTATAAATCTCTTCTAGAGAACAGCAAGGGAATTATTAGTCACATTTACAGTACATGTATATTATATGGAAGGATCCTTAGGTAGTGCAATTTTTTTTTTTTCAAATCATGATCCCAGGGAGGGTCTGAGCTGCTTCAGTAGGTAGTCAGAATTTCATAGAGAAATATATAAAGGGAAAAGTCTTCAAAAACAGCAAAGGCATGATTAGTCATACATGTATTGATATGGAAGCATCCTCTGGTAATATGGGTTCAAGTTTGTCCTAATAGTAGCCCTTGGGAATAAAATTAGCCACAGTAGGAGATGAAACTACTACACAGTCCTGGAATAAACTTTGAGAAATAAGAACAACAAAGCCACAATGGGTCATTTAAATACAGAATTATCCTCAAACTACCATTTTCTCTCTTATTCAACCGTCTTTGACCTTGAAGACACAAAAAACACAAATTCACTTTGTCAGAAACTCACACTTTACCAGCATACAGAACATGAACAAGACCCCCCCTCCCTTTCCATACTGGCCACAATATGCAGCAAAAAGAAAAAAGAAAATATATGGCTAAACCAGAAATCAAACCTAGAACCCCTGGGGCCTGTTTTACAAAGAACTTACAATTAAGACCAAAAACTTAAGTGGTTGTAAAAATTTGTAAATGTAACGATGCTGTTCAAAGTTTGCTAGCTTAAAAATATCCTGTAAAATTCTTCTTAAAAAGATTAAAACAATTTTTGAATCATTGTAAAAAACAAAGTATGAGCAGAATTAAATGTTGGTCTTAGTCATAAGTTCTTTTGTAAAACGGACCCCCGTTCTCTAACTACAGATGTACAAAGACCAATATCCAGGTCCATATAGCTCTAACTACTGTAGTTTATATTACATAGCTACTTTTGTCACAGATTTATCAGTCTTTTTTTAATTATTATTGCGTCTTTCTATTTTCAGACATCCAGTTTTACAGATTTGTCCTTTTTACTGATAGAGCTCCTCAATCAGTCAGAAACTCCTGTATCAGAGGACATGATAGGTATTCATATTTCTCATAAAGCTTTGTTTTGGATGAAGTTAATGTTGAAAAATTTATAATTACTAAACTTTTGTTTTCCAGAAAAAATAGTAACCTTGTTCAGAGGAATGGATCCGCATAGTGAAGAGAGGCAGAATTTTGTGGTGGCCGCTGTGCGATGGACCATGAAGGTCAACTCACAACACAAGCGGGGTCATCCTGATCTCCATCAGAAGCTTGGACTGTCCTTCTGGGATGGTCAGTTTGTACTCATATTTACTTGCAATAATACATCCCAACACTAACATATAACAGTATTACTGGGTATATCTTGAAACATTTAACACTTAACAGAGACTCAGTTAAGTCTGAAGAAAACATCTTTCCTAAGTAAAGTTAGTAATGTGTCTAAATCTCCTCACTATCAACTAACTCAGAATCAGATGTAAAGAAGGTTTCTATTGGCATCACTTTCATTGCAGTAAGATATTTGATCTAAACACCCCCTCCCAAAAAGAAATACATGTATATTTAATACTGTGCATTTTCTTTGTTTGTAGAAAAGAATTATGTTCAAGCAAGGTATCATCTCATACATTCACATGATGGAAAGAATTGTGCCCTTATGTTAATAGAGTGCCATATAAAAGGTGGTTACCCAAGTGAAGTAGACTTGTTCATAGCACAGGCAGTTCTGCAGTAAGTTTTACTTTTCTTTGACAACCTATCATTAACAATGCAAAATATATTAAATTTGATAAGGCATGTGTTTCAAAAAAAATATTAAATATATAAAGATACGTATATGCTCTAAAATTGTTAAACTTTTACAACTGAAATGGTTCTTAAAAAGAATACTAATTACATGTATTTTTCTTTTAAAATTACGAAAAACTTGCAAAGCCCAAAGTCTACTTCTACAATGAACAAATCTTATTTTTGTTTGGGAAATTTAAAACATATTTTATATTTTGTAATTTTGATATTTAACATTAAACATTTTTCTCATGTATTTCATATAAAGTTTAAGACAATCCATATTGTTATTGAATGTATTTTACTGTATTTCAGATATTTATGTTTGAAAAACAAAGACACAGCACAGGTTGCCTTTGTTAAATACACAGAAGATCACCCTGAAGTACAGAGTGGTCCCCCTTATGTTCACCCTCTCCTTAACTTTCTATGGTTCTTACTGCTAGCTGTAGAAGGGTAAGTACTTTCTGAATACTACTGTATATACCAGGCTGAATGCTCCTTACTATAAGTGACGATATTTAATATGTATCAAGGAATCTTGGAAAAAATAACTTTCAATCTAGGTAAAATAAAGTGATCAAAGACAGTGTAGGCCTAACTTCACATTTAAAACATATTGTAGTTGTTAAGTAAGAGAGAGGAAAAATAACTTCAAAACTGAAATTGGTATACTTTCAAATTTAGCAGAAACTGAAAAGGCTTTTTAAAAAAAAATGTACACTTACTTCAGGTCAATACTGAAATATGAAACCTTCAATTCTGATTTTTAACATGTAAATTAAATCAAATTAAGTATGAATTTTTTGTCATAGTAAATTAAATCCTTTTTCAATAAAAAGAATTCTCAATACACAAATACTTTGTATATATATGTATAAAATTCAATCATGGTAAATATGTCGTGAATGCTGTTGCACGTTATTACCAGATTTTTTACTTTCCAAATCTGGTCATGACCAGATTTTTACATGCTGGAGGCTGGCAAGTATGGACCCTCCTCCTGGACTTTTTTAAATCCACTAAGGCATAACACATTTGTATTGTAACGATTTTGACTGTGTATATATTTGAAATGTGTGTTTATCTACATTGAAATATGTTGTGGTTTTAATTTATTCCGACCGGAAG